TTTTTTCAATTCACTTCGCATGGAAATCTTTGAGACGTGACAATCTTCGCCACTTTTTCTGTAGCTTCTATGAATCGATAACATACTTTCAACGATAATTTCGATCCAATTTTTAGTTCGTATTCGAGGCATTTAAATAAAGTAAACGTACGTAAAGTTTGAAAACGATCGATCGATTACTATCTAAGATATCATTCTCGCAGATCGAAACAAATATTATTTTTAAAAAGACACGCGATATCTCAAAGATTTCTGTGTGAAATGAATCGATAAAAATCACCAAACGTACTTACGAACATACCTAAAATATTCTCAAAGTTGATACAAATTTAACAGTGATGGGCAAAACCCTAGCCATCGAATGAATCTGAAGTTTGCTGATATGTTTGTCTTTTTTTGAAAATTTTCCAGAGAAGGGAACGAGACAAACATATCAGCAAACTTCAGATTTATTCGATGGCTAGGGTTTTGCCAATCTCTGAAATTTAGTAAAATTTTCTCTGTAAAAAACAAAAATCACGAATGTGCTTTTCCCTTTTAATAGATTCAAACGTATTACAATAGCTCGAATGGAATCGCGATTATGAGAAACCACGCGACGTGAATACGTGGATGTCGCGCGGTTATATATACATACCGATGATCGGCAGTGTCGTGCAAGAAACTTAATAAGCAGGTTCTTTGACGCGGGGTTAACGGATCAAGGTAGTTCGGTACGAGCATGCCACCATGCCACGGGCTTGAATTATCTTTATCGACGTCCCGATAAAACCTCGTCGCGTAACTCCCGACACAAACGAACCAGCATCAACATTACGTAAATGTTAATTAATATGGGATAATCAGTCAAGCCTAAGAATGGCCAATTTCGAATATTTAAGTGTATCGCGACCCTCGTACCAAACTTGGCCTAATCGCGACGTTCCTGATGACTATTCCTGATGGCTATTCCTGAAATTGGAAACCGAGGAATTGTTTCGTACGAATGTGTTCTAGTGCCGCAGTTGAGAGATTTAAATCAGTTACACGCTTCAATGAACCAAGCTCAAGCTATTTCACTTTAACGCATTCGCGACCGCTGACGTGAATTCACGTCACTTCAAATTCTATTCCTTGTTGTGGAAAAATGATAAAAATCTTTTTATTTTATACGCTGCATATTTACAACATTCATATTTCGAAACATACTTTTGTCATTTTTATCACCGCCCTAACGATACGCGATGTTGAGCTTCGGAATGTTATTATCTTCGTCAGTGCTCGGTATTAGAAACGTAAAATATCTCCCGATCGCGAATGTGTTAATATTCCATATTTTTTTGTATTCTAAAATGTGTGATTCTAAATCATGGTAACTGTGGACAAATATATACCGCTACTCTCGTACTTAAATCACTTCAAACTATGATTCACCTACTAACAACTTCGAGCATAATTTTCTATTTTCGCGCGCAAATTTGTACCGCTCCAAAATAACGTTCCAGTATTCCATTGCGTGCAGCGGCGTGGACGTTCCTCTATCATCACCGTTCCCCGAGTGTTTGCAATCGTGGGTCGTCCTAGGAAATGATTTGCGACGAGGAAAAATAATACCGATTGAAACTGTCCTCGACCCAGGTAAACGTTCAGGGATACCTGTCCCTCCCACGAAAGGCTCGCCCAAATCTCAACTTGCAAAGTCTGCAACCTAGCCCTCAAAACTATTGCATACGAACCCTCCACAAAAGAAGCTGTTATAACCGATAGGTGTCGTAAATCGTTAGAGCTAGCAATCGTTGTTACGCTATCTCGATGCGTGTTGTGCATTTAATGCACACATTTACTGCAGAGTGCACCTCGACTCGATAACAATGGTACTCAGTATCTTTGTGCCAAGATTAACGAACCCAACAATAAAGTTCTCACAGTAAATGTTTAGGGAAGGTGGTAAAGTCTTTAATACTAGAGGTACTAACCCTTTGCACTCGAGAGGTGACTCTCAGTCACCACTAGGTTTTCTTTAGGTTTAATGTCTTTGGAACTCCAAGTGTTAATAAAATGATTGTCGTTGAGGCAAAGGTGACCCGATTTTCAAATCTCAAATTGAGGATCTCATTTTCGAAGTTAATCTAAGCTTAGCATTCGTGACAATAGAATGCTAAAGAAAGCATCTCGGGTTGCTGATGGATACCAGAAAAAAAGGCCTCGACTGCAAAGGGTTAATTTTGAAGATGTAATAACTTCCATGAGAAGTATGTGTCGAGTGTTGGTAGTTTCAGTGTAAATAAGAACCATGGAATTCTTTTCAGGCGAGTATAAGACTTCGCCAAATATATTATTGCTCTTGCATGTCAACAAGGAAGCAAAAACTATCCTTCCTCAAATAATCATAATTTTCCTTTTAAGAATATTCGCAATTGTAATATAATCGGGATACGTCTTCGAAAAACGAGGAAGTAGAAAAGCAATTGTCTTTGCCAGGGCCGGCGATAGAGGTATAAACGTCCACATGCAACTTCCAATTTAGGTGACACCTTTTAAGAAGATATTCTAGAGAATCATTGAGCGTTTATGTTTTCACGATATTCGTGAATTTTTTTCGCAACGAAATTTCAATTAACAGGGACTCGGGGCTGGAGATAGATTCAAAGGCTTGTACAAAAAATTAAAATTAAACAAACGATGGAACCTCAGTTCTGTAGAATAATGTTCCTAGGTAACACTTTTGATTTGAATTTGAATGTTTGATTTTCAATGTTTCTAACTTTCCTGCTGAATAAAACACAGTAACGCTTTCTTATCTAACAATTGCATTGCGGATGTTTATGCATTTATGACAAGTGAAAATCTGGAAAAATATATTAAGGGTGTGTGTGTGTGTGTGTGTGTGTGTGTGTGTGTGTAATCACAAAAATACATCGAATATCAACAAGAAAATACAAAAAAAAAAAAAAGAAAATTACATTGTTTGGAAATTAAAACATGCTTCCATTTAAACCTCAGTTCTTTATGTCTATCATTAAAAATATGAATTTGCATAAATATCCACAGTGTTTTGCTAACATTATTATACCCTGTCGAACTGACGATAGCAAACAAAAATTCCTTCTGGATTTAAAGAAACCTACAATCCAAAACAATACCTCAATAATTGGCGCTCTATACGGTTCACTTCGTCACGAATTAGCGTGTTTCGTAGGCGAAGATTTACTTCGCGCAAGAAGAGTAAAGAAGTCGCGAAAGAGGAATAAAATGGTAATGTAACCGAGTATTAAGGTGTCAGGACGGTGTGTTCGAGGTGCGCGAGGCGGTAGCGCGAGGCGAACTCATAAATTGCAAATACGAGGAGTTGGATCGCAAATACGAGACAACCAATGACCAGAAGAACGATAGTCCGAGGGAGGGGGAGGTTAAAGGTCGAGAGTTGCGTCGCTTGCAGAAACTGGCTTGAGAGCTCGCGGAGGGCAACGACGAACAATATCGGTGAAAACAACGCGAATACCTGTTTCAGGTGATACGTGCTAACGATGGTTCCGCAAGTAGCCACCATAATAATTATACATTTAAATTATTGTGCAGGTTTTATATCATATTCTCCCATCTTTCGATGTTTGGAAAAATTGATTCGTGCTAACGACGGTTCAGGGGTGATAATAATTACATATCTCAACTATTGTGTATAATAAACATAAACAATTAAGGAATAATAATAGTATTCCATCTTTGAAAGGCTCTTTATTTTTTAGCGAGTATCGGTGTGTCGATATAAATAACGTTATTGAATCAGAAACAATTATCGTTCACTTCAGAGGATACTCTAGTCCAGAATTTTTAAAAAAATCTAGTCAAAATATAGACCTTAAAGAAATACATCTACCAAAATTTTGATTAAATTTGCTTTTCGTTAAGAATAAATTATGTATATCCTCGAAGTATAAGTAAAAAAAATCCGAAAAGAATACCTGAAAATTTATGTTCTAGATTAGAATACACCAAGAATACACCGTATTCCAAGTGATTATGGTATATTTATCAAAACTAGTAACCTAAGCCTGATCATTGCGTTTGAGATCATGCAATTTCAAGCTTTTAAAGATTAATGATGGGCCAATTAAAAAGCTCATCCGACAAAGTGTGCGTCTAGTCCCCAAATGGTTGCGAGTCACTGTTCCGATTCTTCAATACACTTTGTTCGCCGTTCCGGAGCTTCCAGGGTACCGAATACCATATCGAAGTTACTCGACTAGCCAATTCTGTAATTAGTATCAACGATACGCGAGCGTTCGTTATTCTTCCTGGCCGAGGATAATTGAGAATATTATTCCAATTCTATCGTCAAGGTAACAGCGACAGTGGGACGAAGGATTTCAACGAATGCTACGACCACCTCGAACCTTTTCCCACAGAATACGTTAATGTCTTAGCGGTATTTGCGAGACAACGGCGAGGACGGGCCGGTACAAAGAGGGACACAGGAAAAGGACAGAGGCATGAGAAAAGGTTCAGAATGGAAGACCGGAATGGGGCGACGAGACGCGAATAATAGACTGCACGCGTAATATCGCGAACCGGTGCAATCCGAAGAGGATTGAACGAAATCTGACGCGAATTTTTCTGGTTATTTCTTTAGAACATGGCCGATTCACATCTTAAGAGAAGCCTATCCAACTTCGTTAATTTCAGATATTTTTAAATACAAAAATTGCGACCGATGCACTAAGAAACGTTCTTTACATTCATTAGCAGACAATTTTTCGTTTGTACCCAATAAAATTCCTACTTCGTCAATTTCAGATATTTTTTAAATACAAAAATTGCGACCGATGTACTAAAAGACGTTGTTTACATTTGTTAGCAGACAATTTTCCGTTTGTACCCAAAAAATTTGGTAATATTAACTGTATGTGTATACGAAAGCACGTTTCTTAGTGCATGTGTTGAAATTGTTGTATCTAAAAATATCTTAAAACAACAAAGTTGTGGCGTCGTCAATTTGTACCACTCT